ACACGTACATGTATGTCCTGAAGTATTTCAAAATGCGATGGAGCAATTCCTGGTCTTTCGAGCATAAACTGCTCGGAAGGTTAAAACACAATTTCCGCTTTCTTTACACGACTGTGTCGAGCACTTAGCTAATAAATTATTAGCCAAGTTAGTATACATGTATCGACGTACATGTACATGTATCATGGCTTCGCCAGTTTTGTGGATTGGACAGTTTTCTGGCGCAAGTCTTGATCTGTCTCATTCAGACCTTGTTCGCTATCGTTGCTATAGTATCAGAGAAAATCTGTGGGTGCACATCACATCCAGTGCATTTGCAGATTTGCGTGCTTCTCTTGCGACGGGCGTATACATGGTACATGGTACATGTGTGTGCACTGCACGGTGAGACGTGAGTATTACTATTACTTGTAAGCAAGGCTTATGATGTCACACACGACAAGGATAGAGTGAAATGGTCCACCACTGCAACTAAACATCAGAATTTCATGTAACTAAATATTCGGCGAGGAGACAACTATTTTAATATCGGAATAAGGAGGACGAGCTGAAGTGACATTGGATTAATTTAATGACAAGCGATGGAGACGATGCGAGCACAATCTAACAGGAGAGGAGAAATACATGTGAGAAGAAAAAGCGATGGAAAATAGAAGTCACTGTTACAGTGTTAGTAGAATGATTAGACAAAGCTCATCGTGCTTGAAAACACTATTATGACTGTGCATTCTATTCCGCATGCATGATGTTGGCATCGACGTGGCAGTAACTTGTAGCCGCTGTCCTTTTTGTTGTCGTGCTGTTGATTATAGTGCTGGTAGTGCTGCTGATGCTGCCGCTGGGATCGTGGAAAGGAAGGAATGTTGGCTACAGTCAACTTCGCTAATATCGACTGCGGATATAACGACAATTCGCGAATAACGACAGAATTTTCATGCCCAGAGCAAAGTCCCATCCAACTGTAATACATATAATGGGACTTCGGGTATAACGACACTTCGCGAATAAGGACACTTTTCTGATGCCCCGCCGAGTGTCGTTATAAGCGAAGTTGACTGTACCAGGATGTAGGCGCGAGTGTCTTAACGGTAATGACTATGTTGTGTAGCGTTGTAATGTCCATTTGGACGACTAAGATTTCTACAGGATTTGTGTGAGATTGTGTACGCCCATATCTGTCTTTAATACCAGGTTGATAAAACAAACTTTGGATCCGTATAGGAAATCTGTGATCCATTATGTAAAACGTTGTGAGTTATGGTCAGTACTTCGAAGTACATCATGCAAAATGGTACCTCCCATAACGCCAAACCAAATGCATGAATAGAAAACTGAATAAAATCCGCTGTAGCTGTATTTACGGGCGAATAATAATTACTTCGAGGTACATATTATAGTGGGAAAGACACACCTGGAGATATGGAGACACGTTCCTGCCCACAAAAGCTCTCTTTGATAGAACCTTACTGTCTCCCATTGTCTAATGTGTACGCTGGGACAGAGCTTTCCTTGCTCACCACAATCGCCATCAGGTCGCGTATGGCGCCCGGCCAATGCGTGGATGGTGGCTGGTGGTGCGAAGGCTGGCTCTTTGCCAGATGCTAATTTTGCAGCTGAGCCGGTATCGGCAGACGCGTGTTTACGACCATAAAAAATTTTCAGGTGTGACTTTCCCACCATTGTTATTGTTCAACCATACAGCTATTCTCAAAGGATAAGCAGCAGCTTTCAGCCTGTTCATCAATAACGTAATTCCACCTCCACCAAACTCGCTCTCTTACACAGCTATTCTAAACTTTTGCCTTTATTACAAGACTAGACTTTCCCGTTTCCTTCTCTCGCTCAAACCAATGAATACCTTATTACCAGACTCTCGTTGTTTTCATTAATTCTTTTTCCACTCGCTCACACACACATGGTCACAGAAGACATTGAACATCACAATACTGAAAAAGCGGACTATTTTGTGTGAGTATGAGAGGACAAAAACTCGGAAACTCGGATTTTGAACATCACAATACTGAAAAAGCGGACTATTTTGTGTGAGTATGAGAGGACAGAAACTCGGAAACTCGGATTTTGAACATCACAATACTGAAAAAAGCGGACTATTTTGTGTGAGTATGAGAGGACAAAAACTCGGAAACTCGGATTTTGAACATCACAATACTGAAAAAGCGGACTATTTTGTGTGAGTATGAGAGGACAAAAACTCGCAAACTCGGATTTTGAACATCACAATACTGAAAAAAGTGGACTATTTTGTGTGAGTATGAGAGGACAAAAACTCGGAAACTCGGATTTTGAACATCACAATACTGAAAAAGCGGACTATTTTGTGTGAGTATGAGAGGACAAAAACTCGGAAACTCGGATTTTGAACATCACAATACTGAAAAAGCGGACTATTTTGTGTGAGTATGAGAGGACAAAAACTCGGAAACTCGGATTTTGAACATCACAATACTGAAAAAAGCGGACAATTTTATGTGAGTATGAGAGGACAAAAACTCGGAAACTTGGATTTTGAACATCACAATACTGAAAAAAGCGGACTATTTTGTGTGAGTATGAGAGGACAAAAACTCGGAAACTCGGATTTTGAACATCACAATACTGAAAAAGCGGACTATTTTGTGTGAGTATGAGAGGACAAAAACTCGGATTTTGAGCCAATAGTAATTTTGTAAAGAGAGAAGGACCTATACATTGCTAGTTGTATCTAACAGACCACCAACAGACCACCAAGGTAAGAAAGTCATCACAGTGAGAGTTCGACTACAAAGGAAAGATATCTATGGTACCATAAAGTGAACAATATTAGATCTAAATCTAATACAAGAAACGCTAATATTCTAAAGCTAGCACTAATGGCGTGATTACATGTACATGAGCAGCGAGCAGTGTGAAAGCATGACTGTGTAGATAGGAGAAGTGCAGGTGAGAAGAATTGTACATGTACATGTACACTGTATGTGAGTGGGTGTGTGAGTGTTGGTAAAGTGTGTGATTGATGTAACGAGTTCTTCAATAGTGCTAGCTTTAGAATATTACTGTTTCTTGTATTACAGTCATGTAGCTTTATATCTAGTAATGTTCACCTCATAGTACTATAAATATCTTTCCTTTGTTGCCGAACTGTCAGTGTCATGACGATTTCTGATGATTATCCCATGAAAACGACATAACATAACAATCCTTCAATATTGTTCCATTGTTGTCCCGCAGTACAGCATTGTGCTTTTCTTTTGCTGGCTATACACATACTGTATTCTTTGCTCGAGTACAACAGGCATAGTACACGATACATGCACTAGTAAGTAGTAGACTGAATAAATGACAGGTGGAATGTGTGCCTGGGTCTATTATCTGTTTGTGAGTTGAGTCCAACAGCGCGGCCGTTATGGTGAGTTTGGTATTGGAGTTCGAACGCAGTGCGTCCACCTGGTCCTTGAAGGGTTGTCCGATAGAAACGCCTGCGCCGGAAAATCACCGGTGGGGCGATCACTAGAACTGAGAACGTGTAGCGGATAATTCAGCACACATGATTTTGAATTAATTATGAATTAATGTTACAGGTCAATCCAGCCAGTGACCCCGGTGTGTGGTGTCGAGTGGTGTCGGGTGCCAGAGGCGGACTTGGACATTGGGTCGACACACACCGTACAAGGGTGTTGGATGACTGGAACATTTAAGTAGTTACGATAATTAATTAGCAGATATTTCGGCGGTAGTTAACAACAAGAGTTAACAGCCATGGTTACCCGTGCGAGGAGTCTTTGATGATATAAAACGTGCGCTCCATGATCCAAGTCTTATTGTACTGTAAACGCACGAGCTGTACGAGAATTAAAGGCATAAGGTTACACTCGCTGGGGTACTGAACACGATCCGGCCGGCTGCAAGCACAGCGTACATCATAATAACGCGTCCTAGTCCTGACAGTGATTTCATTGTAACTCTTTCCGGCGCTGCTAGACAACTCTTGCCAATGGACTGATAAAATGCATTCCGACAAAGATCGGATCTTCGATTGTAAATTAATATTTGTACTACTAGTGATGATTGTACAGTACACGCAGTAAGGTGATCACCGCACTGAGATCTACTGGTACTACATGTACTACTAGCTCTCGCCACTCGGGAGCTAGCGAACGTAGAAATCCAGTACAGATAGTAATCACTACAATCTTGAAGTTCTGGGATCCTGCACAGTGAACGGTAGAGCTAGAAGTGGAATGCGCCCCCGTCTTGACGTGATCATGACATGAAGTCCCAGCTTCTAGACCCCTTATTGTCGTGGGCTTGACAGCAGAAAATCGCCTCCAGCGTGACTTTGACCCAGGCCGCACTCTGCGACGAATAGTTGACACCAGATCTGCGTCTCCTGACATTATCAGAACTGTGCACGGCACTAGTGAAACGTGTGCCACCTGCGAAGTCAAACCATGCACTCCTAGTCGGAGTCCTATGCAGCCCCGGCCCCTGGCCGGGGCCCTAGGGCCTTGACAGGCTCAACAATCCACGTGCACAGACCAACCATGATTGTAGCGTCACCGGATCCACGCTACCGCGAACTGCAATGCACAGGTGGCAGGACATCTGATAAAATCGGAATGAGCGCGAACAGTTTTCAAACATCGCCAAACGTATAATGCATGTGGGTGGTCGTTCACGACACAAGTCTCGCTCAGCTTCTCAGTTCAGGAGGCGTAGCACTAGCAGCTTGCTCAACATATTCCAATATCCCTTCGGACAAGACTGCCGTCCTGAACCTAGCAGGCTGTCAAACAAGCGAGAAGATGACTCTTTGATGCGCGAGTGCGGGGTCTCGGGTGAGACTACAGCCTGATGGCGCTGTCTAAAACAGACTATTTTGCACACGGCTCCTCTGCTTAGCGCCTCGGCAATCCTGGAACCTCGTGCAGAGTAAACAACTACATAATAGCTGTTTAGTTCATAAATCACTTCTCGTAGACTCGGACTGAACTTTAGCGGCCGCAGGGCCAGGGCCGCAGTCCACGCAGCGCACGTTTCGGCAGTGCAGAGCGCTTCTCTTCACGCCCTAGCCGCGCGGGGTGTGAACTGGACTGCTATAACACCATGTCTGACAAAGCTGGCAACGCCCGTTGATCTTGTGGGGTATAAATTTGGCTTCAAACACTCGCTGTCTTATCAGTCGTATCAAGATTTGAGGTGAACGAACCGACGTGGAGAGATCCGAAATTCCTTGACGGGCCAACAAGCAGAAGTATGAAGACAGCTTTTTTCTTCGCTATTGCCGTAGGTGAGTCGCATTGAACCATTTGTTTGAAAGTGAAGCTGATTCCTATATCGTTCTAGAAGGCAACACCAATAAATTGATGCACTCAAACAAATGTTTGTACTTCAATATTACCGCCGCTAGGTTGAAGCGTCGACGGTGTTTTCGATGGAATCGTCCTTGTTGCCTCTAGACGTCTGTTCTATGTATGAGGGTGGTGTGTAGACAAGGCCGGAACAAGAGATCACCTTGTTTCGCGTCCTCAGCCACCAGAAAACTGCCCCCCGCCAGCTCGAAATAGGCTTCCTGGACTTACATAAATGTTTGGTTACTAGTTTTGTGGTCACAGAGTCCGAGGTCGAATTTCAGTTCTTGAGTTTTGACAGCTAGAAGCACTGTGCGTACACGATACATGTACATCCACAAACATAAGTTACTTACTTGACTCTACTGCGACTATACTATGATAATACATGTGGCCGTGGGTGCATGGTTACGGATCAGTGTCTTGGTAGATGAACCACATGCACAGTCAGTCTGATAGGCCTGTCCCCTCAGCAGATGTCTGCAGCACTACTATTGTTGTGCATGTACTGGAAAATTTCGGACAAAGTGCTCGTACAGTGAAACCTGTCTAAGACGACCGCTCAAGGGACCTTCAAAATGCGCTCTCTGTCACCAGGTGGTCTCCTTATGCAGGGTCATTTGACTGGAACTAGCATCCCTTGGTCCTGGTTCAGTGGTCTTCTAGGACAGGTGGTCGCCTTATCCCAGTGGTCGCCTTGACAGCTTGTACTGTATCTCACTGTATCTGCAGTGTACTAGTATACTACAGCACTCAGGGCAGGGGCGTCGGAAGGTATTCCAGTGTGGTACTACGGTCAGCCATCTGAAGTACAATTTACTCGTGGGGGAGGGATGGCCGAGCCGAACAATTTGGAAATTTAGTGCCCAAATCAGTGCATTTTATTGATTCACGGGTAACTTGGGGCAAATAGTGGTACGGTTAATACCGTGGTGACCATACCGTGTGCGACACCACTGCACAGGCCATGCACACGTAAAGCCAGGTGGGGGGAAAACCCTCTTGCTGCAATCAAACATGCTTGAAGCTCAATCTGATCCCTGATGTTTGCCCACTTTAAGCATGTATGACTTAATGTACATGACTGGGAGCAGGACAGGTAGAAATCACATGTTCCCCCCAAATAGGCGAAGTCGAGTTTTCTCTCGAAAACCCTGCCTATGCTATTGAAGAACACAGTGAACACGAAAAACGGGGGGAAATCCTTGAAACCCCGTTCAACGAGGGCCTTTCAGCAAGCCCTACTCATGCAAAGCAGGGTGTAGGAGGGGTTTTGGAAGTGGTACGACCAAAGGTCGTTTTGGAGGGGAGTCGGGGGGACCTCCCCCGGGAAAATTTTGTAGAAAAGACACAAAATCCTGCGTTCTGGGAAGTTCTGGCACACTTCTGGCACAGTTTATAAAGCCATAGAACTATTTCACGGGCAGAAGAGACATGCATGGACATGCACAGATGCATGGCAGATCTACGAGTACGAGTCTAGAAAAAGGTCAAAGTCTGATGCGCATGTGCATCGATGGATCCTGATTTTTTATTACGGTTTTGCACGTTCCGGACGGACCACACTTTTCGAAAAGTGATACGGCCATGGTCGTACCAGTCGTAGCGGGTGCTACGCCCCTGCAAAGAGTATGTGAACCCCAAAATAAGGCACTTTCAGTGGCGGATCTAGGGGAGGGCGCGGTGGGCGCGCGCCCTCCCCTCAAAGTTTAACAGTTCGATGTTGTTTAGTGCATGCACATGGATGGGCAGTTGCGCAAGTGTTTGCACATGCTGTGACAAGTAGTTTCTAGCAGGGAGTAGTAAAATATGTATTTTTTAGTAAAATATGTATTTTTTAGTAAAATATGTATTTTTTAGTAAAAAATGTATTTTACTACTCCCTGGTTTCTAGTGTCAGATAAGAAAGTTCTTCTGAACACGGAGTAGTTGTTCTCTTAGACTTTGGTTGACTTTTAGTTTTGAAATTAGTGTTCAGTTGACGAACTTGTATAGCTAAGTCGGTGAAGGGGATGGCGTACCGCCCGCCCAAGCGGCTAGGGAGCCAACAAACTCTCCACGGATTTTTCGCGAAGCGAACTTGCGCTTCATCAGCTGCTCAGTCGAGCGATCCGTCTTTGGAGGAGAATTCGGACCACCGCGAAGATCCTGAGATCGAGGTCTGCTCAGACTCTGATCTTCCCCAAATGGAATCTGAAGTAGATTCTGACGACGATGGTGGGACTGTTAGTAGTAGTGATGCGAGTCGGGAGCGTTTACCTGTTGAAACTATCGCAGATGACGACGTTGTGACTGTCACGAATGTCGCGCGAGGCACTGCTACGCAGCGAAGTTACTCGGATGCTGTTGATGCAGCTATTGGCGGTGCAACTCTCAGCGATGCAGAAAAGCGCAACATACTTGTATTGGGAACCGGAAGCCTGATAAGCAGACGGTGTTGCCATCTAGGGATTATCCCGACAGCCGCCGAAAGACTGGTACTTCCACTCGCTCGCTGCTACTGAAGTGGTTTGAGTGGCTTGCCTATTCCGGAAAGGCTGGCGAGGAAGGCGTTTTTTGTGCGCCGTGTGTCCCGTTTCCTACATACATTGCATCGACAAGGATCAACCCGAGGTGAATACCTCATCATCCATTCTTACTGCTGGACATGGCCATCTTAGTTATCGTATATTTTATTATTTTGCCACTGTTCTCGATCTCAGCATGTCTTGAGCTTTGAAGCACTATCTTTACACAATTCAATGTAGTACGGCTATGTTCTACTACAGCCAGAGTCCTCAATGAAGTGGTTGAAAAAGTGGGAGTGAGTGCATGTACTAAAAATAGTAATTCTACATAACCGCTAAGCCTATGACGTAATGTGTACAAAATACAGGTACCGCATAGGTTCCCTGTCATGAATATTGCCCGCGCCCTCCCCTCAGCTGAACTCTGGATCCGCCGCTGACTTTTTCTGGAAAGTGTGAAAAGGGGCAACATGTGATTTCTACCGGCCCCGTACATTTAGGGCTCATCATTTTCATGCTCCAACCGTAATGTACTCTTGGTACTGCGTCTGGACCATCCACACCAAACCTTTAAGTACATTCCTGATGGCCTTGCTCAAACCTTTCTTCAAATAAGAGTCTGCCCATAAATTTGAAACTTTTAATAATCTGGATAGTGTAAAAATTCAAATTGAAATAATTTTATTCAAACACTATAAATTTCTTTTTAACCTCTATCCTTATTACATTTTGCTCTGAGGTTGCCGAAAGCAGGATTATCATAGGCAGGTGGCTGTGGATGCCGCTCCGCTGCAGATCTGCGTATGTCCTTTTGGTGGAGACTAAATTTGGGTCAGGTTTTGGCCATTTCAATTGACTTTCAATAGTTTTCAAGAGTATCACTGTCATGCAGTGTAAGGAAAAGTGAGGTGAGGTTAGTGAGAAGCTCTATTCGAAAAGCTGTTCCACCTACTTGCTTTGGATTTTCGACAGCTGGAAATATTTCTAGTATGTCAAGGACAATACATGTGGGCTTTTCCAGCATCATTGTAGAGTCAATGTGTGTTAAGTCTCAGCAAGGCAGGATGTCAGGACTGGCCGATATATGTTTCTGGTTCTGTTTCTGGCATTGTGTGTCTATGTCCTCCAGGCATGGTGGCGGCCGCGTCGGCAGCAGCCACGTGGAGCTCCAGCTCCAGGTCACCTCTAGGTAAGGAAAGAAGATGATTTTCTCTCCGGATTTTTATCTTTCCACCGAGATTTAAAGCGAAACTACTCTGTACGCTTGGTCTAGTGTATAGTTGCTCCCAAATAAAATTCTGTGCCCGAGGGGAGGGGGGGGGGGGGCGATCAGACTTAACACAAATAGGGATTCTGACTTAGATACTCACTTGCACACTTTCCGTAAAACATGTCCAGTGTGACAGGATGGTGTTGGTTTTCTACTAGTCTGCTAGCCATTGTAAGACAAGATTCTTACAAATTGTTACACTTGATATTGTGCACTTCAGAAGTAGGCCATCAGATCTGGGACAGTGTCTATAATCCATGGCATGACAAGGTTCTGTGCGAATTCTTACCCTCGCTGTTCTGTATGCCCTGTAGGCCCACAGAACTGGGGCAGCATTGCCGGCTATGAGCTGTGCGGAACCGGCAAGAGTCAGTCTCCCATCAACATCAACAAGGCCAGCACCACCTACAAGAACCACCCGGCCCTGTCTTTCGCCAACGGCGCTGGCAACATCGCCTTCCAGATGATGAACACCGGGCATGCCATCAACGCATTGCCCAGCAACCCTGACGGCGCACCCGTGCTGAGCGGCGGCCCGCTCGGAAGTGCCACGTACAGGCTCTACAATATCCACATCCACTTCGGCAACTCCACTCTGAAATCTTCCGAGCACGCCTTTGAAAACACCAGGACAAACGGCGAGGTAAGAGTGCACTTCTGCTGTCCTTCGGACGTAATCCAGACCAACACCGGAGAAAACTTTGACTCATTGCCCGTCAGTGGTGGACGTCGGGTCAAGGAGAAAAAGTAGAGCTTTGAAGGCAACCATGCTCATGGCCTGTTCTGATTTCATGTCTAGGAAATTTGCCCCTCTAAGAATGCTCGACATGCGCACAGAATGCTTCGTTAAAATTGCACTCGCATATTGGATTACCTCAGGTTAGCTGCCACACACAGATGGGTCTGTGTGTCACTAAGTATCACGTGATACACACATGTAAAGTAGCTTTGATTTAGTAAATCTCCAGGAACGTAGCCTGCTTGGGGTACAGGGGGGGGGGGGGGGGGGGGCACGTGTAGCCCCAAAAAACCTTGGGTCAGCATGCACATAATGACCATGATGATATGCACCAGCGCCAGCCATCCTATAGTGTACACATGACATGATTCAGATGAAGCGACCCCCCCCCCAGGGGACCACCTAGGCCCGTGACCTCCCTCATGTGTTTTCTCCTTTGTGTTTGCACTGGTTTCAGTTCCATATCGTCACATACAAGACTACCTACGGGAACATAAGCGCAGCCGTTGGTAGCGGTGAAGCCGGAGCCTTGGCCGTGTTTGGAGTGCTGTTTGACGTAAGTACCTGGATACGATTTCGAAATGGAAATCATCCACCTGTGACAAGATTTAGCAGTATGTCTAGTGCAAGGATGGTATGTTTCTTCAGGACCGAAAACGTACACTATCCTTCGAGTAAATTCCCTGAGTTCAAAGTTGTGCTACCCTACTCAGAATGTCAGGTCTGTGTGAGTCGTTAACATGTAAAGATTGTGGACGATAATGTATGATCTTTAGGTAAATGCTGCCAATATTCCTGAGAAGAATGTATGCGGATTATTCTCTTGGAATATTTCTGCAGGCACGCAACGTCTCCAACACCGATTCCGGAATCACCACTTTCATTGACTATGCTTCCAATCTCACGTACAATGGTAAGTTAATGAGAACGTCAGGATGATAGCATATGTGCCGGTGTGTATGCGGGTGCATGGGTGAGTGTCTGCGTGAGTATGCGTGCGCATGGGTGGGTGTGGGTGTTTGTGTGAGGGTGCGTGGGTGTGGGTGTTTGTGTGAGGGTGCGTGTGCGTGTGTGTTTCTGTATATTATGTATGTACGTACTTTTTGGTGCGGATATGTGCATGTTTGTGTGTATGTGTGTATGTGTGTGTGTGTGGGGGGGGGGGTTGTAATGAGCGCACGTGTGTGTGTGTGTGTGTGTGTGTGTGTGTGTGTGTGTGTGTGTGTGTGTATGTGTGTGTGTGTGTGTGTGTGTGTGTGTGTGTGTGTGTGTGTGTGTGTGTGTGTGTGTGTGTGTGTGTGTGTGCGGTGTCTGTGGAGACTAGTTCACATTCGATGGGGTGGTATGTGACGATCACAACTCCGATTTGCAGTGTGGATGTGAACACCAGGAAGGAGTATACAGCCATGCTGCTGAAAAAAATCCAGGAAAGGGCGAAAGAATTGCCTCTATTCCGTAGCTATGCAGAAGACGTTACTTCAGTAACGCCTGGCGCTAGCCAAGGCCCACATAGCTTTAATTTGGTGTTTATTTGTTTGTTTGTGTCACGCCTGGCATATCTGTCCCGCACCGTACCGCACCATCAAAGATAGCTGGCCACAAACAGCTGGCCACAATATTCAAATTGGGCTTTCAATAGTGTTAAAAACTTGCCAGGATTACTCTATACGTGTCACGCTGACAATGTTTCGTTCACTATAATTCGGTGGAAAAGAGAAGAGAACTTTAGTCACAAATCATCATGGTTCAAGCGCCAACAGGAAATTGTTACACAAATACAGGACATGGCAGGCTGTTTTTGCTGCAAGTTCATATTTCACGAGGAATATGCACTGTCTAAAGATCACTCATTGCATGGAGTTTGAAGTGACAGCGAAAGCAAGCCATCGCCTACTGGATTTGTATAGTACCTATGTGCATTGAGTACGCCTTTGAGCAGCTCTGAGTGACTCCGATTGTGCCCTTTGTTGTGCAATCCAGGCGACAGTTCAACTGTGTCCCTGCCATTCCCAATGATGGCCACCACCGAGGACCTGAAGACTTTCTACACGTACAGCGGCTCCCTGACAACACCTGGCTGTGCGGAGGTGGTCACATGGCTTGTCAACGATCGCATCCACTATGTAACGCCTGATGTGGTAAGAATTGAGTTAACATTCGTACTTTGTATTTGTGTTGTCAAGCTGTGTTGGAGATTGCGACCCATACTCGAAATTTTACTGTCTTAGAGTGCTTGCATTTCGGAACACTTGAGGTAAATACAAGAAGGGTAGAATCTCCATGAGACGAATCATAACAAATAGGCACATAACAAGACGCCTAGTGCAAAGGCACACTGCTGCAAAAGGTGCACTTAGTCCCCCTCCCCCCCCCCCCCTCCTCCGCCCCAGCAGGAGAAATGCCAAAAATGCATGTGGGGCGGGTGGACAGTTTCTGTGCATTGAATTGTGTAAATTCCACCTCCACAAACATGGAAATCGCACACTCGAACCTAGCTTATAAAATGGCCCTGTGAACTGGTCTGTGACGCAGCAAAAATTGGTCACTGTGACTGGAAAAAACACCTTCGCAGCGGGATGCACACTTTTCTAATTGTTACCTTGGCACAATTGTGTACGATGGACTTCAGGGCTAGTACATACTGCATAGTTTCAGTGATACGTTTCCATTACCAGCCTGGATTTGGTGGGAAAAACTGATTATGTGGAACGAGACCTGTCCGCTCTTAGGAAGGGTGTAGCGACCTATTTCCTTACCTGACGTTTCACAGAACGAATACCGTCTGGGGACTATAATTATCGTTATATGGATTGTTCGATATTCCGTTTACTGTCCTTGCTCACCTGTATGCCTGTAGATGGATCAGCTGGCTGGTCTCCGAAGCGGCAACATGTCCGTACCCAGCTACCTGCTTCTGGATAATACGCGCCCACTTCAGATGCTTAACGGACGCGTCGTAGAGAGGAACTTTGAAGTAAGTGTCTATGCTGCCCAGTTTATATTGGCTTGCTTCTTAGTTGCTAGATTTCGTTGCTCAGTACAGTAGGTAAATTCAGTGTTACCACATCACTCTAAGTACTCTGGTTGTCACCCTTATCCGCTCAGGGATTTATTCCGTAACATGTCTCATTGGGGTGTAATCCAGTTGAGTGGGCTGTGCCAGATCTTGTCATCGGAAATCCATCACGTGCCTAATACGGCAGGTGATCGCTCGGATATTGTAACTGTCTGCCCATGGTCCAGTCGCTTGCTTGGACGAGTTTCAGTATAAACCCACCGGGACCATAAGTGATATGAACAAAATAGCCAAAGCATAGCCCTTTATATCTCATTCATATAACTTGGAACCTTCCAAGTTGGAAGGCTGTTCGAATGTGCATCCAAAACGTGCTAGAGCTGATTGGCAGTTAGTTGAACTTCAGTACCGTCGGTCAGTGTCGTGCAATGTTATCCTATGAACTGATTGTCAAGTAACTGGTGGTGTCAGTAGACATTATAGCATAACTTGTAGTTCCTTGCTCCTTTTCTTTGCACTACATAGCCTAAAAATCCACATCAATTATGTGGTGAGCAGTGTGATTATGTATACAATACTTTAGTTGAGCACGCGACCTTCTTCTCATAATCACCAGTCTATTTACGTACACACAATGTTGTTTGCAGGAATGACCGAGAATTTATTGCTCATTGCTATCGTGTTCGGCCTCATTTTCTCTGTGCTGCGCCGATGAAATCCACGAAGGACAAAACAGTTCTGTCCGCAGATTGAGTATGACCCCGAGTCATGTAGTTTGTGTACAGCTTAATGCATACATAATGTACCGTTGCCAATAGAATAGCTAGAGAAGGGCAGACGTACTGTGTGCCTGTGTGCATGTGCCAGGCAGTCAACTCATGCACATGCATGAAATTCAACCAGTCAGAAGTAACTGTCCACCTCTCCGTTTTTTCTTTACAACTTTGCACAATTTGATCGCTGTAATCGAGATGTACAGATTTCTTCTCAAATGTATAATAATCATTCCTCTGCTTTCTCGCTTTGTGTCACCAGGCCCCATCAGCTGCCAGCATTGTCTCCGGTAAGTTGAACACAGTCAAGAGATAAGAAGAGCTGTGATGTCATTTTATGGCTGTGTTTACAGGAGAGTTTTCATCTAGGGTTAAATGACAACTCGGCCCCAGTGTTCAACCTGCCATCGTTCACATGCTCTATTGCACTTGACCAGGGCTTTTAACCCTCCCCTAAGGGAAGGTGCACTACTGCATTTCTGGGCATATTTAGCCTGAGGATTGCACAGCATCGCTAGTTCAAATTTCCCCCAAAGTTGTTACATGACGATATACATGTAGGACTGTAGAAAAGGAACTTTATCAGTATGTCAAGAGTGCAGCCGTCAGCCCTATTCATGTAGACACCCACTTGTTTCATCGTACAGAATTTGAATTTGACAAAAAAATGGTCTTTACAATGCGCTTGCATGGGTGTCTATTTGTTACGGGATGGGTATGAGTGGACAGTACGGAGGATTAGCAAGACGAAATTCGCGTTCGCGTTCGCTCTCCAAAGGAAAGTCGAACTCAGTGACGGAATTCGCGTTATGAGAAGGATTAGCAAACAGAATTCGCACATGCATGACGCTGACACGACGTACATTGTGTACAGACAGTAGAGCGTGGTAATTTTATGACTGCCCTGACACGAATCGCGGATTCGTGTTCCGACTACTTTTCCGAGCTAAAAATGCGAAAGTTCGCAATCCAGTTGGCGAACTGAAAAATGTTTGCGAACCCGAACGCGAATTTCGTCTTGCTAATCCTCCGTAATAACTGTATCATGACACCTACGTTATGCGTGAAATAACGTTACTATGCGCTCAGAGCATTGCGGACTGTACCAGCAGCTGTTGCTGCTTAATCTCAATTGTATCATGCTACACGGACAGTCCCGAATGAGAATGTGTAACTATCTGCTCTAGGTAGTAACTTGGGGCTGGTTGCCAATTTTCCAAATGGATTACTGTCTTTTCCAAAAAATGTAACACTTGAGTTTGAAATCAGCACAGTGTTAAGTTTCGTAGCTTTCTGATTCCAATGCATGTGTAGGTCTGTCGCATGTATTCGAACACCACTTGATAATGCCGATTTTGTGTCTGCCTGATTATCCTGGACTTTCTGCAGTATCTCTCGTCAGTGTTCTCGTTACCATCGCAGCATCCCTGAAGAACTGGTAATCAGAACTCCATAGTGGAGGTTTTGGCTACAGTACCTGCTACCGCCTACTTTCCACAAATCACCCTTGACTTTTTCTGACGTTCTTTATTCTCTTTCAGTGCTCGTCAGTTTGGTTACGTTCATTAATCATATCATGGTGCTCTCGCTATGTGCCGGCTGCATTCAATACGGAGGTTGCCCAAAGCTAGAACTGTGTTCTGGAAGAATGCATGTTCATTTGAAAGACGTATCTGGTATGCCCGAGGGCTTTAAGTCCATGTTCGTGAATGATCTGCAACCTGGGCTAGTTCGCCACATTCACTCTGTGGTGTCCTGATTTTTTAGGGGAACCGTATTTTTCGGAGTATAGTGCGCACTTTAGACATGCTATTTTAGGCCCTAAATCGCAGGTGCGCACTATGCTCCGAATATGAAATGCATGTACTTCAATGAAGATTGAAGTGCGCACCCCCAATGAAGATTGGGGGTGCGCGTTATACAAAGGTGCGCACTATCCTCTGAAAAATACGGTATTTGGCTGGTTTGGGGGTACTGCTGGATGAGATCCCGTCAGGTTTGTGAAACTTCTGGATGAGATCCTGTCTGCTTTTGCGATTCTGCTCCTGAATGGGCAGGTTCTATTTCCTTCCGTAAATTTCCCACCAACGTACTAAGTCGAGAACGTTGGTTCTCCACCCTGCCCGCTCGACTCCTGGACAGATGCCAAGTTTTGGATTTGATTGCATGTTTACAAATCTGTTTTCGTTGTTTAGTAGCTGGACCCGACAGGCCGTGTTGAATGGAGCATTTACGTGATGGGTTTGGCCCGACCGGGCTCAAAGTTCAACCTGGGTTGAATCCTCGTGTGTGTGGGGGGGGGGGGGGGGGCAGGTCGAGCAATAAAAAATAATGATAATATAAAATTCAAGGTTTCGCCTGAAGTTAGACTGAGTTTTAACTTTTCAGCATCCGTAGGTACGCCACCACCCTGCAAAGATCGTAGGTACGCCACCACCCTGCAAAGATCGAAGGCGCAGATTCAACTCTTAAAGCGGTTGTGGGGGGGGGGGGGGGGAGCAGATCAGCTCACCAGCAAAGTGTTCAATTCAAAGAACGAAAATTCCATTCGATTCATCCATGTTTCCATCGTGCCAGGCCACGAGTTCCCAATGAACTGGGGGTCGCAGCACGCCTGAAAAAAACATTCCGCTTCCGCTTCCTGGTACCCTCTGTTATTCAATCATGATTTTTGGACCATCCCTCTATGCCTGTTTGCAATACATTGCAATGCAATCAATTACTAAATTGTGGATAAATGAAGGTAGATGGTTAAATGTGAGAGCCAGAGCACAGAGAATCTTGGGGAGAGAAACATTCTACTTGCTACAAGTCATGGGCAGGCTCATTGGTCTAACGTGATGTCTAACGTGATGTCTAACGTGATGTGAGATGGTGCTGGAGCGGCCTGCTATGCTCCGTCAACTACTTTTTTTGTAGAGGTCCCGGCATCTTCGAAAGACGTCGCACGAATTCGAGGGGTAAGCAGAAGCATGAACAAAATGAAAGGTTTAGAATTATGGAGGACCCAATTGGGACCACAGCAGAGAATAACGAATACTTGAAACAGATAATTATTATTAGGGCTGAAGAGCAGTGTCAGATGAAGGGTACCATACGGGTTGAAGCAGAGTTTAGCCACTCAGGATAGGCAAGAATTTGGCTGAAAGTACTTCCTGCCGTGGAACTGCAGTAAGCGGTTTGTCAGTCAAATTCACACAAGAAAGGCATTAGGACGTTGCAATCCACGTCATTATACCGGCCCGCGTGGCCATAGCCATCATCACCAATCTGGAGACAATTTTCGGAACCGCGATTATTGGGCTCCCTTGGTGCCCAGTTGTCGAAGATTATAGGTTGACCAGTCACCCAGTGCCACTTGCCATCACCATCCTTATCCTCGCCTCCCAGCCATATGCCCGGCCCTAATCCAGTAAATACGTTCAATTTCAGCACCGTGAATAATTCCTCGTTACTTCGTATAGATGCCAGCCTTCCACGTTGCACCTCACAGCGAGTTTTTGCATTGTCCCAGGTCATTGCTGTGCCAATTACCTTGTACTTGTGAGAAAGGTCAATGCGTTGGAGGATCTGATGGAGGCCGTCCAAAATTTCGCGCATCATCGATTTAATTGATTTCGTTTGATTGCGGGCCATTGACCCGAAGAATTTCTCGGTTAGCCAGCGCTCCTCGCAGAGATCACCTTGGTAGCCGATTCTGCAATGGCACACTGCCTTTCCTTCTCGACTCACACAAGTTGCCCCGTGCTTGCAAGGGTCCGTGCGACAATAGTCTATTTTGCTATTACACAGTCTGCCAGTGCGCCCCAGGGTGCATGCACACGCAAAGTGGTCTCCAGTGGCTTGACGAATGAAAGTGCCTCCGTGCTGGCAAGGATTCGGCGAGCAGGCGTCCTCTCCACAGTCTACTCCATGAAAACCTGCATCACAGCGACATACGTAACTGTGCTTCTGCAACTCACACTGCCCGTGGCCACTGCACGTTGAGTATTTAGGGCAATTCGATGTGACTGGAGTTATCGACACTCTGCTGGGATTGCGTTGCCTTACCATTGATGGGAGACACGAGAAAATCAAAGTCCTGTGTGTCCTCGAAGTAATGCCAGCAACGTGGAGAACGGCACCCGAAGACTCAATTATGTCGCTGAGATGTAGCTCTTGATTTGCTAGTGCGGACTCGTACGTCTTGGATCTTTGGTTGCCAATGCCCATTGCGCTGAACATTTTAGCAAGACAGCCAGAAGCAGGTGTACTATTACTAACCTTATGAAGAGCAGTCGCTTGTGATTTAGGACACAAGAGAAGCAAGGCACAGGAGAGGATTGTTCGTATAAGCATCCACATTGCTAGTCCCTCACTGCTATTCACCCTCTACACAGCATGAGTTGTGCTCTCCTGACGAGTATATCAGCATACACGTTACGCTAATTATTCGATTTCAAGATTCCATGCGTGACGGATGAGCTATGCAGAGGTGTAATTTGGGCTTTGAAAGTGAGCAGCAACTTACTTCCAACGCGACTACTGACCTCCACTGGACAACGCTCAACGGGGATCGTGATTATGTACCTAGTACCTGTATCTACGCGCGATTCATCTTGGTGACTGCTGGTAGCGACGTTTGGGAATTACGTCAAGTACGTGGATCGCTAGCTGGATGCATTACTTCTATATGAAACTTATACATTCAGAGGCACGTATACGCGCTGAGGTCGTGGACCCTTCCATGGCAAGTATGATCGGTTCCTGAAGGGTTCGGAGAATGATGATGAACTCATACTGGTTTCGTCTGAAGCATACATGTACATGTGTACCTGATTCAACGGAACCATGTCCGTCAAAAATAATGCGAAGTCGGTTAGAAATGTAATACGTGTACTGTAACAGGTTTAATCAAACTTGAAAAGTAAGAGGCCTGGTTGAGCGTGCCTCGACCAGTTATATACAAATGTGATAGTATACATGTGGCAATGGCGCCAATGAAGGTGCTAATAGACAGGCGTAAGACGCATGAGGTGCGAGGGAGTGTAAAGTTATAGAGAACAGGGGAAAACTGTTACATCATCCCCCTCCTATGGAGAGGAAGGAGCTTATAACCCAAATGCTCAAGTGGAATAGAGTACAATAAGCGCAAACACGTGCGAGACGAAAAAAGGCTTTGCACTGAAGTAACACAATAAGATGACTGAAACTCCATGCAAATTAAAGTGTAATAAGCTCAACAAATGTGTAAGGTGAAACTAGAAGTTCAACTGCAAAACTCAGCGGGCAGAAGCCAAGGTTTTGTACTTCTGAAGTGGAACAATGTCATTACCAGATTCATCCAACAAATAATGTTCAGGCTCCCAAGTGGCATCAGAGTAGCCTTGCCACTTGACTAGGTACTGAAGCTGATTCTGCCGGCGGCGGTGACTGAGAATGTTCTCCACCACATAGCGGGCATGACCATCAAGGTCCGTGATAGGCGGAGGCGTAGGCTGTCTCCTATTAGGAATAGCGTTCTTCTCGTAGGCACGGAGTGCCGACACATTAAATACCGGGTGACAGCGGCTGGTATGAGGCAACTTGAGCTTGTAGGCATTCGGGCCGACCACATGGGTTATAGGAAAGGGGCCAAACCACTTGGGGCGTAATTTATGGGATGGTCGGTCCCGAGCTTCAGGAGTCAGGAGGAAATCCCGGTAGACCATTACCAAATCTCCCACCTTCAGCTTTCCCTCGACCCTTGTCCGATCTGCATAGAAGGCCTGACGAGCTTGAGCTGCCACTAACGCATCTTGTGAGATCTTGACCGCGTCTTGTCTTGCTTGCAACCAATCAGCTGAATCTCTGCCTCCCTGAATAGGGTTGAGGAAGTCGGGTGGCGCTCTGGGATTTAGACCGTAATTTAAGAAGAACGGTGTGTTTCCTGTAGATGATTGAGTAGCGCTGTTGATAGAAAACTCACAGAGAGGTAGGAGCATATCCCAGTTATCTTGTTTATGATTTACAAAAGCCCTCAGCACATCCTCTACTATTCTGTTTACTCGTTCAGTTAGGCCATCTGTCTGAGGGTGATTGGCAGTACTAAATGCTAGTTTCGTTCCTAAGCGATCAAACAATTCCTGAAAAAATGCTGCCGTAAATCTTGGATCACGATCACATACAATACTAGAACTCAAACCATGAAGTCGAAATACATGTTGAATATACAGATCAGCACTTCCTTTAGCGTCAATAGTAGAGGAAGTAGGTGCTAAATGTACACACTTTGTCAAGCGGTCTACAAATACATATATAGCATCATGACCTGTATCGGTCCTAGGCAAACCCATGATAAAATCCATCGAGATATCCGCCCACGGCTGACTGGGCACTGGTAAATTCTGCAAGAGACCAGTTTTTAGCTGGCCGCCTTTAACTCGTTGGCAGACGTCACATGACTTGACAAACGCCTTTACATCCAGTCCCATTCTGGGCCAATAGAAATATCTAGCGAGTCTGAAATAGGTGCGATCTCGACCGGGATGCCCCGCAGTCACACAGTCATGGTATTCTTGAAGCAGGGCGAGTCGGAGTTTGCTACTCTTTGGAATACATAACCTGTTCTGTGGTGAAGATCTGAGATAAAGATAACCGGGTGTTTCATTTAGAAGGTAACGGTCGTGCAGATTGTCATGGCTTGAATTTTTCAGTCTCCTGATAATGGGAGCAAG